GCTATTGGTCATTTAAATATGTTTTAGACTAACCAGATATTTTAAATAGGAAAACCATCACAACTTCACAGAGCTAAGCCAATGCAGCACTTCTTTGCATCATTAAAACAAATGTTCCACAGCATATATAAATAAAACACATTTAAAAATGTTATTTCACAACACACTGGGTTACATTTTGAGCCCAAATGTTAAGATTCCTAAGTTATGACACAACTTCCCTGGAGACCTAGCAGCTTATAGTGAGTGGAAGGTACCAAAGAGAGAAATGCATGCGAAGTTGTAAGGATAGGGCCATTTAAGTCATTTGAAATTGAAGCCCATACATCTGACCAGAGAGGTACAGGATTTGACATTTGTCTTGCTCTGCTTCAGTCTTGTCTTGTTCCTATCTTTCCTTACTGTGTGTTTATTTTTCTCTTTTGGAATGTTAATGTTATTTTCTGCCATTGATGTTAGAAATAGGTAACATGTTTTCAGGTTTTATACAATGTTGTTGTCAACAGAACATCTTGAGTGCCAGAGGAGACATTACACATTTGGACAGTGTAGGGACCCATTGTAGATGATGATCATTAAATGTCTATCCTTGAAATGACTAAATGCATTTCTTTCATTGTTGACCATGAACCAATAATGACTGGGTTCATGATGCACTTGACTGAATGAACAACCTCCCAGAAAAGATCATGTATTTGAACAAGTTTCTCTCCTTGGTGGCTTTCTTTCAATTTCCTGTGAAGAAGAAATTCCTCATTGTATGTAATAAGTCTCAAAACTCACAACTAATTTCCTGACATTTACATCTACTCTTTTATGCTAGTCATTAATTAGACAATTTCCTACTTATACTGAAATGCTTTTGCTATCATTATAGGCTTAATCTCTACATTCCATATCTTACCTGTATTCTATAGGTAAAAAATGAGATATAGCAGAAGGAGTTGCTTTGAAAAAGTTTGGCAACCTGCTATTGCAATTGTTTTGTCTGCTTGCCTAATTACCCCTTACTTTGCAGCTCCAAATTCCTGAAGGTAAAGGGAGGCATCATTTTTATATTATATGGTGATTGCCCTGGAATATAGGTTTTTATATGTCAGGTATATACTGCTGTGCTGAGCTTCATGCATATCTTGAAATTTAGAATTTGAAAGTGGGTATCACTCTGATTCCCAGGATGTCATGTATTTATGACATTAATACTCCCTGTACATTCTGAGTCAGTTAATTGCATGTACATGAACTTTGTCTGGCTTGTTACACTTGGTTTGATTTTTTTTTAATCTATATTACTATTTTATATGTCTGCATGGATATTCATTACATGGGTACCTGGTCCTCAAGGTGAACAAAAGATCTCAGAATTCCTGATCAAAGAACAATGGAAAGTTGTGATCCCCATCTAAGTACTGGAAAATGTGCCCACCTACATTCAAGACCAGCAAGGACTCTCTCCAGGCCTGTGTTAATTATTTATGATCAACATTTATATTTCTAGTGTTTTCTTCTGCCCATTTTAACTGCTTTATACACGAAGTTGCTTTCTACAAAATGTTGTTGAAATTACAGTTTAAATTAAGGCACTTCAGATATCTGGATGATGGATACAGAACTGGAGTGAATGCAGAATTATTTTTAAGAACTTCAATAAAAGTCTTTCGGTTCTTTCTATCTCATTTCTTTGTTTCACTAATTTTTGAATGGAGATGTTGTCTTAATGTGTACTTCCACCTGTCCTGGACCTGACTGCATAAGCTTGACTGGCATTCAACTAAGAGACAAATATACCCACCTCTGTTTTCTGAGTGTTGTGCTTATAGACACAATACACCCAGTGTGTCCATATTACTTTTTTGTGTGGTCTGTAACACTTCATACAATTTTCTCATGCATACTATATATTGCTGTTCTTTTTTGTTGTCTATTCCTCTCAATAGACATTGCTGTTATGAGGTGGTATCCCATATAAAAAGTAGAGAAAAGACAGAGTTGATTCTGCTTTTCAATTTCCTTCAAAATGACTGTCTATGTCATGGAATAAGAGTTAGGAACACAGGATCATATGTCTATACTCTGAAAGAAGTACGCTTTTCCAACTTTGTCACTATCATGCTTTCCATTTTACACATTTGTGATATATTTTAAAGGCAGTGACCAATGAAGATGTGTATATCAACTTCACTCAGGAAGAGTGGGATTTGTTGAATCCTTCCCAGAAGAATCTCTATAAAGAAGTAATGCTGGAGACCTACAGGAACCTCATTTCTATAGGTAAAAATGAATTTCCTTCATGTTTCAGAATATGGAAACAACTTTTCCTTGGATAAGGATGTTGTTCTGCAATTTGATTTAGAAAGAAGAATGAGGTGAATAAAGCAGCCATAGTTCTTAGGTGCACTTAAGATAATAAGCTAAATGTTGAACATTGTTAAATGATATGACATATTCTGGCCCTGTATTTTAGGATACATTTGGGAAGACCATAACACTGAAGAACATTGGCAATGTTCTAGAAGACATGCAAGGTAATTTTCATGTGCAAATTGATAACAATGTCCCTCTGATGAGATTGCACTTTTTCCTAGAACTTTTAAATCAAAGCAGCAATGCAAATAAGCACAGCTTTAAGTACATAGATGGTTATTAAATCCTCACAAATTCATATACCCTAATTTTATGTATGTAAATTATTCTTCCTATCCTATGTATATATAAGCTTATGAGCATAGGGATATGGAAAGATTTAACATACCTTTCCTTAGAACAAACATAAGATAAGAAGTAGTTCCCATGTAGAGTATGCTTCTTGAATTTGTTTCAAGTATACAATACTGGTGGTTTTCTACCATCATTATTAATATATAAACTTTACAAAAAAGCCCCATGAGTTTTAGGTTTGTGCAAATACATCTAAATGTCCTAGTTCACTTAGCAAATATATATGATTCACAGTATAGTAAAATTTATGAATGCAGTAAACTTGGTAAATCTCTGAGTGTATTCAGTTGTCTTCAAAGATGTGAATAATATCATATGAAATTTTATTATAAATGAAAATATGTAAACCATGAAACAAAGAAATTTATCATTATACTTATTTTCCTAGATGCAAACTGACCCTCTAATTATAGAGCAAGCATGATTTTAAACAGAAATATGAAATCTTAATACCTAATTCCTTTTAGAATTAGAACAAGTTATAAAATTAATTCTTAGAGATAAAAGGTTCAACAGTGTCTTGAATGTGGTAAAGCTTTATGTGTGCCAATTATCCTTGCAGGATTAAAAGAAATCAAAATGGTGAGAAGAAACTTTCAGTGTATACTGACTGTGTTAAAGCCTTGTCTTATGAGACTCACCTTCTATGGAATGAAAAAACACATACTGGGCAAAAACACTCTAAAAGTAAGAAGTGTGGTAAAGCCTTTGCTTATCATACTCATATTCAAGTGCCTAAAAGAAAACGCACTGGAAAAATACCCAATGAATTCAGTCAATGTGACAAAGAGTTTGTTCTTTATGAAATTCATCAAAGTCATAAAAGAATACATAATGGAGAGAAACCCTATAAATATAATCAGTGTGCCTATGTATGTCAAACTGATCTTCAAAAACATAAAATGATACATAATGGAGAGAAAATCAATGAATATAATCAGTTTGTTAAGGCCTCTGTAGATCAGAGTAATCTTCAAAATCAGAAAAGAACACATACTGGAGAGAAATCCTATGAATGTAATCAATGTGGTAAGGCTTTTGCAAATCAGAGTTATCTTCAAAAGCATAAAAGAAGACATAGTGGAATGAAACCCTATGAA